ACAGAAGCCTACAAACTAGAGACAAGTTGTTAGCTCTCTACACACGCGATGCATGATGGTGAGACAGAGACAGGCTATCTGCAAGAAATGTTTCCATTTGCAAAGGTGAAGACGAGGACACAAGAGTGTTACTGGTCTGTACCAATTCTGATACTCCATTGGGCAAATAGCGCCAGACTCCCCTGCCTTGGGAGCGAAAACTGTTCCTTGGTGTGGCCCAGTTTCTGTTCTTTGGCACAGCGTCTGTAGTCTCGTTTTTGGCCTGTCTCTAAGATGTACTTTTTTCATCACATGCTTTGCTGACTCCCAAAGGAGTGACCTTTGTTAGCAGCTCAGTAGCTTTCTGATCCATAGAAAGATGAGTGCTTGAAATACAACACCCTTAAAAACACTGAGGGCTTTCTATGTATCTAATTATACTCCACTCCGTGCTCCAAATGTAGCACTGTGAAGAACTGTGAAGGGTCTGGGCTTTTGCTGACTTGCAAACTTACAGGTAAGCCTGCCACAATTTCATGGATCGTGGTATAAGACATGAGACTTCCAGGTTAGAGACAAAGGACTTTATTACAACATAGCGAGAAGTGAGTGCTTCGTGTCTGCGTCAGTTCCACTTGTCCCCCAAGCGCCATGAGGATGATGCAGAACCTGTCCAGGTGGATGCTACGCTTGCAGTTAGTCTGTGTCACAGCTGAGGAACATCGAGCTTAGGGAATCTGAATCTTTTATGGTGGCTGCAAGCAAACCTGCCTTTTTTCTGTAGGAGACATTATTTTAGTGTACATTAAGCACATATGCCCTTTGCTCAGGGAGACCTGATCACTATCTTCCAAGACTGTTTGCTCTACAGTGTTGAAAAGATGGCACCTCCACTTTCAACAAGTGCAGACCCATGAGGAACTGTCTCCCAATAACATTCACCCCTTGTATCTACACCACCCTCCTGGCCACTCATTAATTTGATCCATAGGATTTGCTAACAGTTTGGATGTTGGTATGAAAGAGTGGAGCCAGGATGAATCCCAGGTCTGTGGTCTGAGCAACTAGAAGAATGGAGTTGCATCCTTTAAGATGAGGGATACTGCAGGCTAGGGAGAGAAACTCAGTGTGGTTTTGGATATAAGTTTGACAGGTCAACTAGACATCCAGGTGGAGATGTTTAGTAGGCAGTTGGACATAGAGCCTGGCGTTTGAGAGACAGATCCCAGCTGGAGGTTAAAGATGGGAGTCATCTGCAAAGGGACTATTTAGTGCCTTGGGCCTGGGTGAGATCACCAGGCATGAGTGCAGACAAGACCAAGGGATGAGCCTCGAGGCCGTGTAGTGTCAGTGGTCAGGGAGATGACAGGAGATGGAAAAGGGCGCTCTGTAAGGTGGGATGGAAGCAGGGGCCCATGGTTTCCTGGAAGTCTGTGAAGACAGTGCTTGAAGCAGGAAGAATTGCTGTCTGGGCTTCATGCTGCTGACACATCAAGGAAAGTGAAGACCGATGCCTAACGGTTGGATTTAGCAGTGTGGGGGTTGGTTGAATGAGTTGTATATTCCCTACTTTGCACTGAGATTAATTAAGAGTAGTGGACTGAGCCAGCCCTGATGGCCTGGTGGTTAAAGTTTGGCCCTGCTCTGCTTTGGCGGCCCAGGTTTGGTTCCCAGGCATGGAACCGCACCACTTGTCCATCAGTAGCCATGCTGTGGTGGCAGCTCACATAGAACAACCAGAAGGACCTGCAACTAGAATATACAACTATGTACTGGGGCTTTGGGGAGAGAAAAAAATAAAGAGGGGAAGATTGGCAACAGATGTTAGCTCAGGGCAAATCTTTCCCAGCAAAGAAAAAAAAGTAATGGATTAATAATTTAGAAGTATAGAATTTGTAATTATATTCATGCTGATAAATCACTAATTTGAATAGTGGTGGTTTCTGGAGAAAAGTAAGCTGCAGAATGAACACAAGTGGTTACCTATAATTCTGATTTCTCTTTTTAATGCCAACGGAGACTGATTTCTGGATTGTATTCAAATCTTGCAATTGTAATTTGGGCTGGGGAGAGGGGCAGAGAGAAGGATGTGCAAGAAAGACAAAAAGAGGGGCCGGCCCGGTGGCGTAGCAGTTAAGTTACCATGTTCTCCTTCGGTGGCCCGGGATTCGCTGGTTGGGATCCTGGGTGTGGACATGGCACTGCTTGGCAAGCCGTGCTGTGGTAGGCATCCCACATACAAAGTAGAGGAAGATGGGCATGGATGTTAGCTCAGGGCCAGTCTTCCTCAGCAAAAAGAGGAGGATTGGCGGCAGATGTTAGCGCAGGGCTAATCTTCCTCAAAAAAAACCCAGAAAGATGAAAAGAGAAAGAGTTATTGCATTGATGGCTGCCTGGAATTCTGTTCTTTTTTTAGGGAAGACGGATGAGTACATTCAGCATGGATTCCAAATTGGGACGGTCCTGTCAGGTTTCAAGAAAAGCTCAGATAGATTAGGCTTGGTCAAGAGGCTCCAATAACAGGAGGAACTCAGTTTGCATGTCATGCCATCCAATTCTGGGTAGCTTCTTGATTTAATAACCCGACTTTAGACTGTCTCGGGGCTGGTTATCCAATCTTTGGTCCACCCCCTCCCATTAAATTAAATACGGTCCCCACAAGCATTTTCGAATATGAAAAATCTCACCAGCCCCTATCTGGTGACCTATTTAACTAAGAACTATCTGACGCTGCTTAAATAAACCCCATTACGACCACAAATAGGAGCCTTGTCTCAGCATTCTCTGCAAGTTCTGTTTTATCTTTAGTGAAGTCCCATGGCACTGTCACTCTTCATTAGAGCCTTAGAAAAGGGAAGGAGGGGAGAGGAAAGTCAAGCCATTTTGATGATTGGTAACACGTCTTGCAAAGGCGATCCCAAGTTCCCCGCAAATTTATCTGCGCCGTCTTTGGTTTCACTGCGTCAGGTCCATGAGAGAGAGTGGGAGGGCAAGCTTTGCCAGGAAGCCAGGTCAGTGTAGTTACTTGTGTGAAATGATAATTTAAAAATCCAGGAGTGTCAGTTTTACTTATTTAGACAAAGGACAAAGAGTGTGAACTAAACCTCCTCTCCCTTCTCCATCTTCGTCGCCATTTGTAGGTGCGTTTAGATGCGTTCACCTGAATTCCATCCTAAAAAGAAGCTACTGTGATTAACCAGAAGAGGAGGGGACTGTGCTTGTTTAATCCACACAGTGTACTTGACGGTGTCTAGACCGTTTTGTGTCTGTCGTTTCAAATCATTCTTGAAACAGGCTGAGGGAGAGCCTGATTTACAAATGAAGACACCATGGCTCGTGGACGTTGAGGAGGACAGAGCTGGCCCCTGGTGCGGAGTGGATTCAAACCCCGCTCTGTGCTGTGCTCTGCTTTTTCTGTGGCCCTGCCCTGCCCTGCCCTGAGGCTGGGCATGGGAGGTTCTGGGGCCTCACGGCTGGAACCACCCAGAAGACTAGAAACCCTGTGGCCGCCAGAGCCTGAGCTCAGCCTTGTAGGGAGGCGAATGGTCCAAAAGAATCTGCTTCTCAAGCTCAACACCTCCACGTCTCAGGTCACGGCTGGCGGACCTGGCGCAGAGCGGCAGCCTTGGGCCAGACCAGACTGACATGCAGCAAGGCTGGCGAGCTGGGATCCCCCAAGCGTCTGTGGATGCCGTGCTCTTAACTCTGGGCCTGGCCCTCCTGACACTCATCCTCCTCTGCCTGAATTCAAAAGTCTCTGTCAGACTGCTGTGCCCATTTGAAAACCGTGGGCAGGAGCCTGGGCAGAGCAAGGGCCCGGGTCCTAGACTCCAGTGATGGCAGAGAGGAAATCAGAGGGCATGTGGGCTATGGCTCAGCTATGTGTCAGCTCCAGAGCTCTGCAGGTGTTGAGGGCAGGATACGCTGGAAATCGGAGAACTGGCAGCAGAACTGGGCTCTAGACACAAAACGGTATTTGGAAGCCTGTCTTTTGGGAATGTCAACTCCTCTCGGGCCTGGTGAGGCCCAGCCAGAAGCCGCTGAAGTGCCTGGGCGGCCGTCCCAGGGCATGTCCACCCGCCATATCGAGTCAGAATCCAGACAGTGTCACCCGCTAGGCCTGGCATAAACTGATGGCGAACACTTGGTGCCAGCCCGCTCAGCCAAGACAAACCCTGCCTTCAGGCCTGGTGGTCCAGGCTGGATTCTGGGCTTGCCCCAGAAGAGGTTGGGTTTCTCTCACTGGTTCCAGAATGCCTCCAACTCTAAGAGATACTGGGGCTGGGCAGAGGCCCCAGAATGGGCTGAGGGCCCTGCCCCCCGTCCATGAGGTGCAGGTCCACAGCAGGGTGCACAGGCCAGGCTGGGCTCGGGGCAGCTCCACGGCCTCTCGCCATGGACGTCCAGCTCTGCATGGTGGTCTTGCTCTGCGAGTGCTCCAAACACTGGGTATCTCCATCAGGTCAAATGTGAGCCTTTGATGTTTGTAACAAAACAACCTGCATCCCGGGTTGCCATGTGGCTGCCAGACTGCTGGCGATTACTCAGAAATTCCGCAGCGTGTTCTCAAACGGCTGGAGTACTGGATTCGAACCACATATTAATAACTTGGCTGCCTGCTCTGTCTCTTAATATTAAATGTGAAATTGTTCCTATATTCGTGTCTATAGGTTGTGAAGGCGATATTAAACTGATACCAAAATAGCTCAAGGTGTATTTATTTCAAAGGAAATAGAGCGATTTACATCTGAATCTTCATGACTGCAGTGAATTTTAAAGGTATCCTGAGAAAAGGATGAAAAACCGTGCAATTATTACTGCAAGTTCACAGAAATGTTTGGATGTTTAAGAGATGAAGTCCTTTTTATTGAAAAATGTGTAAATGTTATTTATAACCACAAAAGCATTTCTGCTTTTTGGCTCACACTCTGCTTAGATTTTTGACTAAATCTTCCTTCTGTTTCTCTCCCTCGGATTCTAATCTTCCATCAACAAACACGCTGATTTCTCCCCTCTTCTAGAACTCGTCAACCTTCAGATCGGGTGTTCCTTGAAGCTACTGTCCCATCTCTGGTCCTCCTTCCTCTGGCACTTCTGGAACGATAGTGTGTCTGGGGGCGCGATGCAGTCCAGCTACCCCAGCTCACCAGGTCCAGCTCCTCCCAAATACTCGATCGCCTCTTCCCAGATTAGCTCTTCGTAGAGAAGTGGGTCTCAGGTAAGCAGAAGGCTCATTTCATAACCACATGGGTCTTTTCATCAGCTTCGGGGCGTGGCTGTCCCCGCTCACCGTGCCGCCAGAGGACACCCAGCACATCAACTTGGGAGTCCTGCCTGTTGTTAATCAGATAAACTCCAAACGTCTGATCCTCATTCAGGCTCCTTCTTGGTCTAGATTGAATTCATCTTTCCCACCTTCCCTCTCCCCTTTCCTCAAAACTGAGCTACAGGCTGCCTGGTCCAAAAGCCAACCCCGCCAGTCACCCGTCTACTCTGCCTCTGGACTTTCACAGAGTGTGCGGCCCGGTCGACTGTCTACCTAGAAACTGAGCGATCTGTGGGCATCGCCGCTACTGAAGGCCTTCAAGGGCAGGGTGATGCTCCGTCAGGATTTTGGAGAATCCACTGGGCGGGAGCAAAGATATCTGTAACAGGGAGAGAATTAGAACTCGGCCCTGGAAGACTCCGCCCTGAACGTGCAGCCACAAAAAGATCAGAATTCTCTGCAGGTAAGACTTAGGGCCCTACAGCCAGAAGCCAGCATCGTGCAGAGAACAGGAGAAAAGCCACAGGGGTTCCTACCATTTGGAGGCAGAATTTTAGCCCCAGCAGTTCAGGATCACCATGAGTTTATCGGTGAGGAGGAATTAGAAATATCAGAAGACACTGTGCAGGTGTGGTGCATCTTTGACGAGGAAAAAGGTCGCAGGTATATATGAATGGTGGGGGCAGATCTCAGTGCCCAGACCCGAGTGGTTGTGCACGTTCTTTACTTTGCTGTAATTGGGCTTTAGTTTCTCTTTTGGGCCCACATTCCACCAGCGACAGGAACTAAATCTCCATCAATCCAGAGATGGCCCTGTCCCTGGGCTGTGTCTCCATGTCAGGGGCTGACCCAGGGCCAGGGCCTCAGGGAAGTCATCCCACTGGAAGGCTTGTCCCCACCTTTTCTCGCTGGTGTCTCTGGACATGGCCTTCTTCCTGATCCATGTCCTCTGTTCTCTTGGGGCCACCTCAGCCACGTGGGATGCAGTGGAAAGTGCTCTGCTCGCTGGGGCGTCCAGGGATGGTGACGGCTGTTTCACGTGGCTTCCTGACCCTGCAGGGGGCATTTCTTCTGCTCCTACCTTCGGAGGCCCACTCTATTTCTTTTGTGGTTCACTTGTAAACATGTCTGGTACAAACTTTGGGTGTGGACACGTGGCTGGGCCCTACCTGGGGAGGCTCCCTCTGCCCTGCAACCCTGGTGTCCTACCATCTCGGTCCTGACTTCAGAAGTCGAGGACCCCAACAACATCATGCTCTTTGTCTCCCCCTCCTCATCCAGATACCCTGTCATCTCATCTCTGGGGACAGCAAGGACCAGCTCAGACAGACCTTATATTTCCGTCTTCCTCTTTAGGCCAAGGCCTTACATTTTGGAGCTTGAAATGCCCACAGTCTGACTCCTGTTCTCTGAGCTCTGTGGTGTCATCCGTTCTCTGAGGCAGGAAGCAGGGGATGCTGGAGGGACCATGGGGTCCAGGGATCTACGAAGAAAACAAGGCTTAGTCAAACTGCAGAAAACCATGGGCAAAGAACACTGGGGGAATGTTTGCTTAAATTTTAGTGGACTTGTTTTTAGGTGGTGGGGATCTGGTTTTCTTTGTCTTTTACTTAAAAAAATTTTTTTCAACATTGAACATGAATTACTTTTATAATTAGGAGGAAAAAAACCCCCACACCAATGAATTATAAAAAAGACCCACTGTGTTTCATTCTTCAGTGCGTCTGGTTTGGACCTGATTGCAGCGTGTGCATTCAGAAATGCCCATCCAATCTTTTGTTTCATCTTCGTAAAGACCCAAGTTGAAGAACTGATTCCAAATCTGATCATTCATCTCCCTCTGGCCACCAGTCAGCGTATACCTACTTCCGGGGACTCGGAATGCAGCAACCGGCAAGGTAAATAGTTTCTGTCCTCATGGAGTTTGTGGTCTTTGAGGGCCCAACCTGGTGGATGTCTGGATCTGACCACTGGAGTCCCGGTTCTGAACAGGCAAACCTGGGAACAGCCCCATGATGGATGGTATGCTCATGAGGCTAATTTTTCTCCATGCTATTACATGTAACAGTAGCAGAAAAGTACAGTCAATCCTTATTATTTGCGGATTCCATATTTGCCAATTTACCTATTCACTAAAGTTTATTTGTAAGCTCCAAATCAATACTCCCGATAATTTTTTCATCATTTGTGTAGACGTGTGCAGAGTGGCCAAAAATTTGAGTTGCCTGATGCACATGATTCCAGCTGAGGTTGAGCAAGGCGACACTCTGCCTTCTTGTCTTGGCCTCATACGCAGAGGACCAGAGGATGGAGACGGGAGGCGCAGGGCAGTGGAGAGTAAGAAGCTCCAGCTTGGGGGCCAGCTGGATGGGGTTCGAATCCCAACTCTGGCACCTGTTAGTGGGACAGCCTCAGGCAAGTCATTTAACGCTTCTGAACCTCGTTTGCTTTTTCTTTTGTAAAATAAAGTAGGATCTGCCTGGATGAGTCGTTTTTAGGATTGAGGATTACAATCGATGCGAGATATGATTATGCTGTGTATATGTTCCTGCCTCCCCTAGGAGCATGGTTCTGTATCCACTCATTCAGCGTTCATGACGACTTTATGGACTCTAACTAATGAGAAGAATGAGAATCGACTCTACTTGGCTTGGAGGTCTCCAGCCAAAGAGGAGCCTGTTGGGTGGACATCTCACAGGGTGACAGTTCTGTCCCCTGAGGACTGGGGGTTGTGTAGGGCAGGAGGAGGAGAAATGCTGAGGAATGTCTTGGTCGGCTCAGGCTGCTCTAACAAAATATCACAGACTGGGCGGCTGAAACAACAGAAATGTGTGTCTTAACGTTCTGGAGGCTGCGGAGTCCAAGATCAAGATGCCAGCTGATTCGGTTCCTGGTGAGACTCTTTGTGGCTCGCAGACGGCTGTGTTCCCCTCGTATCCTCATATGATGGAGAGAGAGAGGGAGAGGAAGTAAGCTTTCCTATCTCTTCTTATAAGCCACTAATCCCATCATGAGGGCTCCACCCTCATGACCTAATAACCTCTCAAAGGCCCCATCTCCAAATAGCATCCCAATGGGGAGTGGGCTTCACTATATGAGTTTGGGAGGAACGCAAAGATTCAGTCCATCGCAAGGAGGGAGAACCGTTGCCCTGCAGGCAGTCCTGGATAAGGAAAGAGAGAGAGAGACATCCGGGGGGTCAGGGAAGCCGATAAGGCGTTCAGCACTTGGGGAGAAATGGGGAGAAGGTGCGGAGAGGGAGACGGAGGCTGCTGAGGACACACGTTTCCACGGCGTGGCGAGCAGCCCTCCAGCTGCCGCACCAACACCGCGTTGCAGGAGCGTAAATTCAGTTATATTTATAACTTCTTCCCTGGGATAAAAATTGAGTTATTTTTTTAGATATGGTTTTATTTTCATTTTCAATTACCATTTTTCCTCCTGACTTATGGATGCTTTGGAGCTTAAAAGAACAGCTCTTGGGATGTGGCCACTGCATCTGCGTCATAGCCGACAGCCACTATCTAAATCCTTCATTACCAGGGAGAGATTTATTTTCCCAAGTCTTCAATCTTAGCTGAGTGGAATATTTAATAGAATTGCTGGTTTCTGTGGCTGTCTCTTCCTCTTTTCCCTACCAGGCTGGCCTGGGAGTCCACTGCAAACCGTCGGGGCTGGAGTTCGGTCTCCTTGCTGGCCTTCTGCAGCAATGCTGCCCAGAACTGAGGGGAGCAGGTGGTGGTGCAAAGCCCTGCCCCTTGTCTGGTGTTTTGGACTGAATTGTGTCCCCCTACTACTCCCCGCCCAATTTACATGTTGAAGCTCTAACCTCCAAAGTGACTGTATTTGGAGACTAGGCTTCTAAGGCTGAGTAAGGTTAAATGAGGTCGTAGGGGTGGGGCCCTCATCTGCTAAGACTGGTGTCCTTGGAAGAAGAAGAGGAGACGCCAGAGCTTGCTTCCTCTGCACCTGTGCATAGAGCAAAGGCCACGTGGGGACAGGGAGAAGGTGGCTCCTACAAGACAAGGAGACAGTTCTCACCAGAAAGCCATGCCACTGACATCTCGATGTTGGACTTCAGCCTGCAGAATGGTGAGAAAATAATGTCTGTGGTGTAAGTCACCCCGTCTGTGGTGTTTTGTTATGGCAGCCCGAGCTGACTAATACACCTGGTAATGAGGAGTGGAATCAGGGCCACCCCACTTTGTGTCTTGGAGCAGGCCTTGTGGGTTGCCTCCTCAGCCCCGACTTAGCTGTACCCCTTTTCTCATAGGACCCAGAAATACCCAGTTCTAGGGTTCGGGTGGGGTCACTCCTGATCAGCTGAAGCTAATCTGTACATTGAAATCTTTGGGCCGTGGTGATTGGTTCAGGAGTGAGCATATTGGTCCCATCAGAGGGAAGCCCAGGGTTTTTGTTCAGTGGTTGAGGAGAGAGAAAATCCCTCTCTTTGGATCTAAATGAGGACTCACGGAGCCTGGAGGCTCCTGACAGACAGCTCATCACCATGAGGGCTCGAGACAGATCCAGTGGTGTCCCAGAGAAAGGGAAGTACAGTCGTGAAGACATTGTGAATATCCAGCCCTAAAGGCACTGTCCCAGCTCTGGACTTTTCAGTTAGTTGACAACAGATCTCTTCTATTGTTCTAGCTAATTGTGTTGTGTTTCTTGTGACCTGCCTCTAAATGCATCTTACTGGAACTCTCGTCCACCAATTGATTTCCCACACGGCAGTCAGGGTGAACTTTTAAGAATATGAAGCTGGGGCCGCCCCGTGGACGAGTGGTTAAGTTCACGCACTCCACTTTCACAGGCCAGGGTTTCGCCGGTTTGGATCCTGGGTGTGGACCTAGCACCGCTCATCAAGCCATGCTGAGGCAGCATCCCACATAGCACAACCAGAAGGACCTGCAACTAGAATATACAACTATGTACTGGGGGGCTTTGGGGAGAAAGAGAAGAGGAAAAAAAAAAAGATTGGCAACAGATGTTAGCTCAGGTACCAATCTTTAAAAAAAAAAGAAAAAAATTACAAAGCTAATTCATACCAGTTTGTAGCTTGGGTCCTTTTAGTGGCTTCCTGTCCCGTTTTGGATAAAATCTAGGGACTACTTCTGGTAATCGTGGTGTGAGACAGGCAGGTGATTTCCCTCTGTAGAAAATAAGTGCAAAATTGACAAAATTATTAAGGAGAATCATTTCAGGCCATTGAGAAGTGACCAGATAGGCAACAACTTGAGAAGAATTTACTCATGAAAACCGCTATGGCCTTGGGTAAGAATGGTGGGTCTGTGGCCTTCTGGCCTGGAGGCATTCCCGTCTCACCCAGCGTGGGTGGTAAAAACCTGCAGCTGGATGTGACCAATTTGATTCAGGGAGTTGACAGAGCAGCTAGAAATGTAAGAGTGAGATTTTGTAAGTGAGAGAGCCGAAGAAGAGCACAGATGATGAACTCTCACACATCCCTGGTTGACTGCTCACGGACGCAGGCACACAGGAGCCCCAGGGGGTGCAGCAAAAGTGGAAAGTCTGGGAGATGTGTGAATTCACCACACTTTCACAAACGTCCCTCAATCCACACACAGCATGGGCAGCAGAGGGTGGAAGACATACTGGCTTGAAGTGTCTGAGTATAATCTCTGCCCAAATCATTGCCTGACGACAAAACTATACAAGTGAAGGGGAAACCTCTAGGGACCGGACTTAAAACAAAAAAATGAGCAAAGATATCAATGGCTGTGCATCGAAAGTGAGATTTGCAGGTTGAGTCCAGGCAAGTTAGTTGTCTCCTAAAGCCAGCAACACTCAGGATAAAACAGAATCCAGGCTTGCTACAATGTATAACCTACAAGGTCTAGTTTTAAATTAAAAAATTGCTAGACATGCAAAGAAAAAAGTATTTCCCCAGCTCAGGGAGGGGAGGTGGGGGGAAACTAGTCAAAAACTGACTCTGAGGGAGCTCAGAGGTTCTATCTAGCAAAGACTTCAAAGTTGCTATTAAAAATATGTTCAAAGAATTCAAGGAAAATATGTTAACAATGCATAAACAAGTAAGGAAGCTTAACAGAAATGGGAAAAAGCAAATGGAAATTCTAGAGCTTAAAATCACACTAACTGAAAGGAAAAATTCACGGCACGAGCTGAGTTGAGAAGTCAGAAGAGTGACTCATTGAATTTGATAGAAAGACAGAAATTGTGCAATCCAAAGAACAAAAGAAAAGCCCCTGACAGTCAAATTGTCAAAATCCAAACGTTTTTAAGGTAACAAAAGAAAAATGTTACCTCGTATACAGGGAACAATGAATGATATGACTTATTGCTAACTTCTCATAGAAACAGTAGAAGCCAAAAGACACTGAAAACCCAAGAGACTTTGTGCCTTTACTGCACTTTTCATGAAAGAACAGTGATTTCCTGTTTGTTTGTTTTTTTTTTTAGTAGCTTTCTGTTCCATTTAATGACATATGCAAAATGCTGAAAGGGAAAACAAACCTGCCTCCAGTGAAGTTGTCTTTCAAAACTGAAGACAAAAATAAAGCCATTTCTAGATTTACAAAAAAGAGAAAACTGAGAGAATTTGTTGCCAGCAGACCTGTGTTAAAAGAACAGCTAAAGAGAAATGATATCGATAGTAACTTGGATGGTAACTCAGAGACACAAGAAGGACTGAAGAACACCCAAAGTATAAAAAATGTGTAGGTTTTCTGCATATATCTATATCTCAAGCACAAATGGACTAAAGTAAAAGAATGGAAAAATATATATATGATGCAAACACACAAACCATAATCAGAAGGGAGTTGGAGTAATTTTTATTAATGTAAGACAAAATAGACTTTAAGAAAATGAATATTACTGGAAACAAAGAGGGCTATTTCATAATAATAAAAGGGTCAATACAACAGAAAGAAATTAAGTATTATAAATTTATTTGTACCTAATAAGAGAGCTCCAAAATAAATGAAGGAAAAACTGACAGAATTGAAAGAATGGAAAAATCAACAATTATAGCTGAAGATTTCAATACTCTTCTCTCAGTAGTTGATAGAACAAGTAGCCATAAAAATCAGCAAGAATATAGAAAACTTGAAGAGCGCTATCAACTAACTTGACCTAAATGACCTCTATAGAAGACTTCATCCAACAGCCCCAGAACACCTGGTTCTTTTCAAATGTACACGGAATGTTCACAAAACAAACCAAGTGCTGGATGAGAAAACAAGTGTCAATATGTTTAAAAAGATTGCTATCACACATGGCATGTTTTTTGTGTGTGTGTGTGAGGAAGACTGTCCCTAAGTTAACGTCTGTGCCAATCTTTCTCTATTTTGTATGTGGGATGCCACTACAGTGTGGCTTGATGAGCAGTGTATAGGTCTGTGCCCAGGATCTGAACCCGTGAACTCCGGGCTGCTGGAGCAGAGCACACACACTTAACCACTATGCCACCAGGCCGGCCCCCCTAGCAAGCTCTTTGATGACAATGGAAATAACTTAGAAATCTATAACAGGCAAAAGCTGAGAAATCCTAAAACATGGGGATAGTAAACAACACACTTCTAAATAACTCATGAGTCAAAGAAGAAATCACAACAGAAATTAAAAAATGTATCAAACTTAATGAAAATGAGAACATAATATACTCAAATTTGTGGGATGTAGCTAAACCAGTGGTTTGAACAAAATTTATAGCTTTAAGAGCTTATGTTATGAAAGAAGACAGGTCTAAAATCAGTGAACTAAGCTTCCAATTTAGGAAGCAAAAAAGGAAGAGAAAATTAAATGCAAATAAGTCGAAGGAAGGCAATTATAAAGATCAATAGGGAAATCACTAAAATACAAGAAGGAAAAACAAAAGAGAGAATGAAGGAAACCAAGTTGGTTCTTTGCAAAGATCAATAAAATTGACAAACCTTTATCTAGATGGAGAGAAAACACAAATCACCAATTAGGAATGAAAGAGGGAACATCATTACAGATCTTACAAACGTTAAGTGGATAGTAAGAAAATATTACTAACAATCTACTCTGAAGCTTAAAACACGTTAGTGAAAGAAATGAAGTTAAATCCTGTATAGAATGGAGGGATATACCATGTTCATCTGTAAGACACAGTATTATTAGGATGAGAGTTACCCCCAGATTTGTCTATAGATTCAACACAATCCCAATAAATATCCCAGCAGGATTTTGTGTAGAAACCATAAGCCGATTCGAAAATTTATAGGAGAAGCAAAGAATAGCCAAAACAATTGTGAAAGAGAAGGACAAAAGTGGAGGACTTAAATGACTCGATTTCAAGATTTACCAAAAACCTGTGGTAATTGAGACAGTATGGGGTCAACATAAGGGTAAAAATGTAGATCAAGGGAACAGAATAGAAAGTCTGAAACTGGGTCCGCACATAGATGTCAACTGATTTTTGACAAAGGTGCCAAGGTAATTCACTGAATTGTATGAAGAACACTTACAATTCAATAATAGTAATAAAAATAATTCAATAAAAAATGGACAAATGATTTGAAGAGATACTTCACAAAAGAAGATATATGAGCGGTCAATAAACACATGAAAGGATGCTCAACATTATTGTTCTTCAGGAAGTGCAGATGAAGACCACAAATGAGAAGCTCCTACAAATCTAGTGGAATAGCTAAAATTAAAATGCCAAGTGTTGGCAGGAATGTGGAGAAATTGGAACCCTCCAACACTGCTGGTGGGAATGGAAAATGGTTGGATAAAGTCTTGTAGTTTCTTACATAGTTAAACATACCGTAAACATTAAGCTTGCCATACAACCCCACAATTCTACTCCTGGGTATCTATCCAAGAGTAGTAAAAACGTATGTCCAAAAAAAAAGACTTATACATAAATGGTGATAGCAGCTTTATTCAGAATAGCCAAAAAGTGGAAACAACCCAAATGTCCATCAACTGGCGCATGCACAAGTGAGAGGCTGTATATTTATACAATGGAATATTCCTGAGCAATTGGAAGAGAACAAGTTGTTGACCATGCAAGGACATGGATGAGTCTAAAAAATGTTACACTGAGTGAAAGAAGCTGGACATGAAAGGCTATACACTGTATGAATCCATTTTTATTAAATTCTAGAAAAGGCCAAACTATGGAGGCAGAAAGCAGACCACTGGCCTGAGGCAGGGTCGGGATCTCGACTGAATGCAAGGGGGCAGGATGGAAACTCTTAGGGTAGTGGAAGTGTCCTAAAACTTGATTGCGTTGGTGGTTGTATGATGGAGTATAAGCTTATCAAAACTCGACCTATACACTTAACGTGGATAAATTTTTTTTGGTATGTAAATTATACCTCAATAAAGCTGTTAAAAAAAATCTAATCTG